ATATTTATTCTTCTTCATAAAATCAGTAAGCTTTTAATAACAAAGTCTAAAAAAAATACAATAAAATTAATACCATAATTGCACATAATAGTGGGCAGGGGTGTTATATTGGGTAATGGCCGAATTAAGCTTAATTTAGTCCAAAATTCGAACTTACACCCCTGCACATTATTATGCGCAAGTACGGTATGTATCACATGAATGCACGATTTATTTTTTAAAATTAAATTTCTACTTTTAATTTCTAAACAACCTAATGTTTGATTATTATTTTCTTTTTGTATTCCTTTTTCTTTTTTTTCCTTTATATTTTCGAACATTTAACTCTTCTAAGCTTTTATCTTCATCACTAGATTCTCTTTCTTCTTCGTCACTAAGTTTTTTTTCTTCTTCAAGATTGCACTCATTTTTCATGTTTTCTTCGATGTTTGGTTTAAAAGTTTCTTTTCCTTTTTTATTTTGAGTATGTTTGATACTAGGTACTGGTTCTTCTTTTGTAACTAAACAGATATTATCTTCGTGATTAGAAAGTTTAGGTATTAAGTTACATTGTCTTATTACTGCCTGGGGAGTGCTAGATTCAATTTCTTCAGCGATCAGGTCTATATCTGAACTGATATCAGGGATAATTGTAGTGCCTTCTTGTTTATTGTAATTAGTGTTAAAAGAATTTGTATAGTCAATATTGGTGGCTTCTATATAAATAATATCATTCTTTATACATTTAAAAAAACCAGATATGAGTAATGTGCAGCTAACTTTAATACCCATACGAAAATAGTCAAATCTTGGAGCATAAGTAGGAAAGAGAACATTCATTTTCATAAGAACATTGTGGTTATTAGTAATTGAATTATATTGATAACATTCTGCACTAAAATAAGTAGTATCTCTCAGATTTTTTGATTCACATTTTACTGTTATAAAAAACATACAGTGTGGAATGTTAAGAGGAATTTCATCAGAATTAAATTCTTGTTTAGGGTCTCCAACAGCAATAACTGTAATATGACTAACAGTAATATACTGTTCTGAATTTTCAATTATAAATTTTTCAGAAAATAAGACTATATCACCTACTAAAAAGTCAGGACATGATTTTTGAAAAGGATAAAAGTATTTCTAGTGAATGAATTAAAAATTATTTTTAGCAGGCTGATATTTAGCTATACCATGTGTAAGATAGTTTGTATTTTCTTTAGAAGTCACAATAAACAACAAGAGTAACATGCGAAGACATTTAAATCTTAATTCTAAGAAATCTGTAAATAATGTATAAAGATAACTTTTTATAAGTTTGTAAAAAGCATTATATGTAGTAATTGTAGTTGATAACAATTTTATTAGCTTATCCTATTAATATTTTTTATGTTACTAAGCCAACTTAGTAAGCAAACTATTTTAGCTTTTATTTTTATACATACTGTATAAAATATAAATTGATTAGATTATGTATTCTAAAATTACTTATCGAATTCTGTTGATATATTATCTTATATTCAAAAAATCCTAAACTTTCATATGATATTTAAGTACTGCAGAACGATAACAGCCTTTAAGGCTTATTTTTATACCAGAAAGTTTTATGCTTTATAAAAGGCTTAAACTTTTATCAGAAATTTTACTATTTATAAAAAATTTATGTTTATTGAGGTTTTCTAAATTTTACAAATTTCGCAAGTTTATCAAATTTTGCCAGAGGTTTTGTTATTTAAGGAGGTATGTTTTGTCTTTTATAATTTGCAAAAAGGTTTTGTCTAACAATATTAAGCAGCACTTATTTATATATTTGCTATGTGCCACATCTAATTTTTTTTTTGTGTTATGTTAATGAGATATAAATATTTGTCACAGCCAAGGTTAATTCTTAACAAAAATTAGCATACAGAATATATGGGCTGCCGTCAATAGAAATCAAGCAGATCTACATTTGAAAAAAAATCAATACCTTAAATTTCACAGCTCATATCTTGATGAATTTTAAAGGCATCTTGATGATTTAATATTCAAAAGAAAGCTTAGATTATAAGCTTTCTTTTGAATATTAAATCATTAAGACGTCTTTAAAATTCATCGAGATATGAGCTGTGAAATTTAAGATATTGATTTTTTTTTCAAATGTAGATCTGCTTGATTTCTACTGACGGCAGCCCATATATGTATTTGACAATTTTAGGTACAGTTTGTAATTTTTTGAACAAGAAGAATCGAAAGTCATAATGATTTGGGTTGATTAACTGGGTGTTCATTCCATTGACAATTACTTCATCGACAACTTAGTTTGAAAATTTCGAAAATTTTTGATGGAAACATTTTGATTATAATTTATAAATATTATGTGACTTTATAATAGTTTCATAAGCGACCTAATGCTTAAAAAAACAGGTGACCAATTAAATACAA